TGTAGAAGCTCTAGAAAAAAGGAAGATATACATATGGCAATTCGACTGATGCAAAGAAAAAATGTAAACAGACCAAGAATATTCTTGACTTAGATAAATCACACAAGAAAACGGTCGAAAATGAAACTGCACAGAATCAAATGAAACAACAGGAAGAAAATGAAGATACTCAACAAAAAAGTGACAAAAAAGTGGAAGAAGTAAAATGGACAGAAGCAAGAAGAAAGCGTAGGAAATGTCGACTACATCCGAATCCCGATCGGAACTCTCTGGAGGCAGAAGTTAAGAAATTTTTCCATGAAGCTGAATGTGAACCGGTAACAAGTAAACACCAAAATGTTTATGCTAGTTTTAAAGTTACTATTAATGCCAGTAACTTGGAAAGTGCACTGAAACCTGAAATTTGGGCACCGGGGCTCTCATAACTAAATTTTTTCACCGGAAAAAGAAAATCAACGACAACAGTTCGTCTGTGCGGTCAAGTGTACATTTAAATTGGAATCCGAAAAATCAAAAATTCCAAAAGCTAAATATTGAAAAACTGAGAAATCGGTTTTGAAAATCCAAAAACCGAGATGTCAAGTAATCTAATTGAAAAACTGAAAAATCGAGAAATGTAAAATTTAAGAAATCAAAAACTGAAAAATCAATAGACATTAAAATCGCGAAACTTAAAAATCTAAAATTTTAAAAATTGAAAAATGTTGATACCGAAAAATGGTAAAATCGAAAAAGTAAAAGATCCCGATATAAATCGAGAAATCGAAAAGTCAAAAAAGGAGCCCAAAAATTGAAAAACGGGAAGATGTAATCCGAAAAATCAAAAATTCCCAAAACTGAAATGTTGAAAAACTGAGAAATCGAAAGTTGTAAACATCGAAAAACCGACATGTCAAGAAATCAAATCAAAAAATCGTAAAATGGAAAAATTGAAAAACCAAAAAATGTAAAAAATTTAAGAAACTGCAAAATTGAAAAATCAGTAAACGGAAACATCAAAAAGTTTAAAAACAGAAATATGGCAGAACTGAAAAATCGAAAACTCTAGAAATCGAAAAACCTAAATCTCGAAAATCTTAAACATCAAAAGTTATAACACTGAAAAATTGAAGAATCGAGAAATAGAAGAAATTGGAGAACCAAAGTCCCGCAAAATCAAAAAATTTACAAATTCAAAAACTGAAAAATCGAAAAGTCGATAAACCAAGAAAACTATATTTCAACGTCAAAAATTTCAAAATTGGAAAATCGAGAATTCGAAAAGTCGAAAAATGGTACCGGAAAAATCGAAAAGTAGAACCCGAAAAATCGACAACTTGAAAACTGAGGAGATGACAAATCGAAAAGTCGATAAACCTAAAAATCGGTGTATGAAGAAATTGGGAAATCGAAAAATCAAAAATTAAGAAACGTCAAAAATTGATAGAGATTAGAAAATCAAAAAATTGAAAAATCGTAAAACCAAAAAACCAAAAATCTAGAAATCGAAAATTTGGACGATGGAAAAATTAAAGAATCCAAAATTTGAATAATCGAAAAGTTGAAAAATTGTAAAAATTTAAAAACGGAAATGTCAAGAAATCGAATCAAAACATTGAAAAATCGAAATATGTAAAATTTAATTAAACAAAAAATTGAAAATTCCTGAAACTGAAAAATCCCGAAATTGAAACATCGAAAGATTGGAAAATCAAAATCCTGAAAAATCGAAAAGTGGAACCCGAAAAATCGAAAACTTGAAAAATCGCAAAACTGAAATATCGGAAAATTGAGAAATCGAAACAGAAAAAAAAAACGAAATCGAAAAAGGTTGGAGAAATTAAAGAATCCAAAAATTGAATAATCGAAAAATTGAAAAAAAGAAAATTGTAAATTCGAAAAACCAAAAGATCCAACAATCGAAACAAGAAAACGAAAAATTGAAAAATCCATTAATTCAAAAATTCCGAAAATTGAAATGCTAAAAAATTGGAAGCGAATGCGGAGAAACAAAAATGGTGGTGTTTGAGAAGAAAGTAAGAAAGGAGAAGGAAGAGTGGGCATGGGGAGGGAAGAAGAACAGGTGAAAGAATTCCAGAGAGAGAGAGAGAGATTATTACAAAGTTTCCAAAATTAGTTAGAATTTTTCTACTTTCTTTCATTTTACTATGAAATTTATAAGTAACATACGTTGAAACAATTTTTAAACGGGTGTCCTAGCAATGTGATTCAAAATTTAAATACACAGAAGCATTAAATTTTCACAAAGCGATATCCACTAGTGATTTAAATGTCAGGAAAAGGCAATTACTGACCATGAAACAGCCACGTCAGTTCAACTGTTTATAGAAAAGTTGAACTTTTATTAAAGTTTCCTCGACATACTTTAAAAGAGACATCAAATACAGTAAAGTGCGGAGTTTTGAAGACGACACGTTTCAAAATGTGGACTGGTTTGCACTGGCTGGCAACCAAATTTCGCACTTTTCGCAAAAGTTGTTCGACTTCCACATTACCAGAAAACACATGTTTAAAACTGTGTCGATTTTTGATTATAGATATTTTTGAAACGAAAATAGTCGGATATATCCTTGTCGCTATTTTACTGGCTATTCTTTCGATAATTTTGATCCAGACTTACTTTTTTGTTGAAAGATTTGACATAAACTATCTCTTAACGTTTGCATTATCATACACAATGATGTTATATGTAAGATACTTTATTATTTTGACAGTTTATACCAACAGTCTTTGCAGGCTACGGTTGCTGTTTCGTTCTTGCCGGATGCACGGAATAACGTGAAATCCACAATAAAGAAGATAGAAATGCGAGATCTGAATACCGAAACGTGTAAATCAGTGCGTGAAAAAATTCGAAAAGAAATTTTCTTGGAGACAGCAAATTTACTTACACACATAATTCTGGCCGTTGTTAGTTGGGTTTTGTGCACAATGCATAACGAAAATGTGGAGAAATACGAGTGCAGCATACACGTGTGGACCAATTATTTTCCCAAATGGAAAAATATATCAGTGTTTCTGTACAGAATCATTTTTTTTCCTACAATATACGTGTCAATAATAAATCCCAGCCATTTAATAAAGTATTTGCTTCTTCAAATAAAACTTCAAGTATATGTGTCGATGCACCAAATAGAAGAAATTAACTTGGGATATGAAGATCGACCATTTTCAAGACTAGATTCAAGATTCCACGAAATGGTTTCGAAGAGATTATTATCGTGCATAAAATTACATTTGTTCTACTACGGGTAAAAACAGTAACTCGTTTATGGATTTAGATATAACCGATAATTTTTAGCTTACTTCGAGGAATCGAAAAACGTACTACAAAGTACTTGTTTGCTTTCAAAACTGTTGCACTTTTACTCTACTTCGGTTTGACTATTTCCTACTTTTCGGTAAGTTATATTCAACCAAAAATAAGCTAAATTTTTAAGCGAAATTTTAGCTAAAAGGCCTTTTGCCTATAAGTTCTCTCATCTCTTTGATAAGTTTGAGTTTATTTAGTGCGGCTACAGTTACAAGAAGTGGCCAGGAGCTAGAGAATTTAGTAAGTTATCTATATCGTAGTACTTTATCTGTAACGACTTCTATCTAGTCCGACGATATCTACATGTCCCTAGTCAATGTAAAGTGGTACCACTGGAATGAAAGCAATAAAAGAAATTATCTCATATTTTTGACAAACGCAATGAAACCATTTAAACTGAAGTACAGCCAAAACGTTTCCCTCAATTATAAACTTGCCATAGAGGTACTAAGTAGTATCAAGAAATCAAACCACTATATAAATTTTATGTTGCAGCTACTGCAAGCCTTCTTTTCCGCTATCTCCATCAGCTCCAACTTAAAAAATGTTGGCAACAAAACGCAAATTTAAAACTGCACACTTGAAAATGTTTTTAACTGCAAAAAAATTAACTTAAAATATATAATATTCTTGTTTATCATTAATGATGCTTACTCACTATTTGGTTTATATTTTAATGCAACTCAAGCTCCAAATTTACATAGCCAAGCAACAAATAAGTTTAATTCAACGGATTAATGAAGAACTGGTAAGCTAAATTTTAGATTTTGAAGAGCTTTACTTCTGCGGTTTTGGTCATGAGTAAATTCAACTTTAGAAACTAAGTATATTAATCAAGATTCTATTTAAAAACAGTTGTATATGTTTTGTCAAAATAGCGACACTTTGTACACATTTAACTTTCATGTTTAAACAATAAATTTTGAATTTCACAACTACGTCTTTAATTAATTTTGGAGACAAAGAGGTAATGAGTAGTGAAGGGACAAAAAGAAGGAAAAAGAATAGAGAAGTAGAGTCGCCGAAAGAGAACGAGCAAAATAACAGTAAGATCACCTCTGCAATCGATAAAGAAGGAAAATCAAGGAGATATAGAGATGGAGGAGGTCAAGAAGATGATCAGCGAACTTGCGACACAAATCAGAGATGATATGAGACAAAGTAATAAACAATTATTGAAGGAATGGAATACACAGCTTTAAGAGGAGCTTAAAACAATGAGAGAATAATTAAAGCAAGCAAGAGATCAACCTCAGGAGCAAATCAAGAAATTAGAGATAAATATGAAGAATGGAAGCGAGCTAAGGAAGAAATGGGAAAGCGAGTGGGTGAAACAGAAAGTCAACTAGATCGAATGGAGAGAGGAAAGAGAAGAAACAAAGTAGTGATGATGGGATTGGAAATAGGAACAGGAGAGCAGAAGCAGATAATTGAAAAGGTGACAAAATTTTTAGAAGAGAAAGCCAAAATAGAGGGTAAAGTTAAAAGCACGTACAAAATTGCGGAGAAAGTTTATGTAGTGGAATTCGAAAATAGAGAAGAAAAAATAAACGTAATGAAAAGCAAAAAGAACTTAAACGGGTCGTCAATTTACATAAATGAGGATCTGACGAAAACGGAAAGAAAAATTTAAATCAAGATAAAAGAAGAGGCAACAAAAGAGAGAAATAAAAGGAAAATGGTTAGAATGGGGTATAAAAAGTGCAGAAATTTTGAATGGAATGAAGAAGAGGGCAGACTCAAGAAGGTAAAAATTTTTAGTAAAGAACCAAAAGAAAAGGAAGAAAGGGAGGAAAAATGGAAAAAAAACAAGGCAAAGGAAAAGGATGCAGATAGTGAAATCGGAAAAAGGGAAGCTGGTACAAAATTAGGAGAAAAAAGGGTGAAGGTACTTTTTTGTAATGTCCAAGGGTTGCGAAAAAAGGAAAGCGACTTCTGGGATTACGTGGGAAAATTTGATGTGATGGGGCTAGTAGAGACATGGGTACAAAGAGAAAACTGTGAAAAATTTGAAGAGACATACCAGAAGAATATGTGTGAGAGTGTCAAGAGGCGAGAAAGGAAAAGAAAAAAGGGAGAGCAAGCGGGGGAAGAATAGTAATGGAAATTCGAAAAGAAATGCAAGAATTGGACTAAAGAAGAAAGTAATACAGCTGGTTAACAATCGACGGGAAACAATAGTCGTTTATAGCAAGAAAATGGAGGAAACCAAGATAAACATAGCAAAGGAAACAAAAGAAAAAGGAGATGAAAAATACTTAAGGAGGGGATTTGAACGCAAGATTGGGCGACAAGGGGCCAAAATAATAGATAAAGAAAAGAGAGACAAAATAGGATCAAAAGACAAAGCAAATAAAAAGAAGGAAAATATTGTGGAAGATAATAGAAGAAATGGGAAGGGGAAGTTTGAATATAAACAATGGAGAAGATGAAGAAGGAGAATGAACGTACGTAGGGGCTAGGGGAGAATCAATTTTAGACTATGGGATTGTCAACGAAAAGGCGTGGGAAGAAATAGAGAGTTTCAAAGTAGGGGAAAGGGTAGAATCAGACCACATGCCACTAGAAATAAAAATCATAGGAAAAGAGCAAGAGTACAAAAAACAAGAGAGAAGAAACGAAAGAAAAGAAATAGAAAAAAGAATATGGAATGAAGAGGGAATTCAAAGATACAGAAGTGGGCTAGGAAAAAAGAAATTCGAAGAAAAAGAAGATATAGAAGATGTACATATGGGAAGGGAGGAATAATGGATGGAACGGGGAATGTAGTGACTTGAACAGAAAAGCAATGGAAAAATTAAGAAAATGGAAGAATAAGAAGGGAAGGAAGGAAGAGTACTTAAAATCAAGAGAGAATTATAGGAGAAAATGTGAAGAAAAAAAAAGAGAAAAACGAGAAGAAGAAGAGAAGACAATAAAGTCCCTGAAAACAGAAGAAGAAGTATGAAGATATATAAACAAGGAACGGACAAGGAAGACTGAAGTCAGTAGGACAATCAAAATACAAGGATGGAAAAGACACTTAATGGAATTATTGGGAGGTTGTGAGGAAAAAGGCTGCGAAAAAATTAAATCACAACGACGGAAAAAATGTGGAGAGGTTCGGAAATCACAGAAGATAAAATAGGAAGACAGACTGAAAGACTGAAAAGAGGAAAGGCACCAAGAGGGGATGGAATCCAGAACGAAGCGTGGATGTTTGGGACAGAAGGAGTGAAAGAAAGAATATGGGAAGTGGTAGATGGGGTTAGGAAGAGTTTCCTCGGCAGTGGAGAGACGGGGCAAAAAAGTGATGTGAAAAACTACCGAGGGATCACCTTGCTCAATACGGCGTACAAGATATACGCAATGATACTAGATGAGACGTTACGAAAAGAGATGGAAGCAAGGGGTATGTTACCAGATGGTCAGGCAGGGTTTAGAAAAGGAAGAGGTACTATGGAAAATGTGTACATCCTGCGGCATTAAGTGGGAAGAGAAAGAAGGAAAGAATGTGGACGAATGTACGCATTGTTCATAGATTTCAAAGCAGCGTTTGATAGCGTGAATAGAGAGAAAATGTGGGAGTATTTGAGGAGAAAGGTACCTGGTAACGAAAACGGAAGAAATATATGAAGAAACAGTAAATAAGGTGAGAATGAATGGAATAGAGACCGAGAGTTTTTATACAAATAGAGGAATGAGACAGGGCTGCCCACTCAGCCCCGCATTATTTGCAGCTTATCTAGGAGATATAGATGAAAATGTTCAGAAAAGCACACACAGAAGAGGTGGTAGTGGGCAAAAAGAAAGTGTCATCGTTGGCGTACGCAGATGATTTGGTGATTGTGGCAAAGAAAAAAGAAGAAATGAAAACAATGATTAAAAGCTTCGAGAAGCATGTACGTACAAAAAAAGGAATTGGAAGTGAATGCGAAAAAAACAAAAATGGTGGTGTTTGGGATGAAAGTGAGAAAGGAGAAGGAAGAGTGGGCATGGAAAGGGAAGTAGTTTGAACAGGTGAAAGAATTCCAGAGAGAGACAGATTATTACAAAGTTTCCAAAATTGGTTAGAATTTTTCTAGTTTCTTTCATTTTACTATGAAATTTATGAGTAACATACGTTGAAACAATTTTTAAACGGTTGTCCTAGCAATATGATTCAAAATTTAAATACACAGAAGCATTAAATTTTCATAAAGCGATATCCACTAGTGATTTAAATGTCAGGAAAAGGCAATTATTGACCATGAAACAGCCACGTCAAACTGTTTATAGAAAGGTCGAACTTTTATTAAAGTTTCTTCGACATACTTTAAAATAGACATCAAGTACAGTGAAGTGCGGAGTTTCGAAGACGACACGTTTCAAAATGCGGACTGGTTTGCATTGGCTGGCAACCAAATTTCGCACCTTTCGCAAAAGTTGTTCGACTTCCACATTACCAGAAAACACATGTTTAAAAATGTGTCGATTTTTAATTGTAGATATTTTTGAAACGAAAATAGTCGGATGTATTCTTGTCGCTATTTTACTGGATATTCTTTCGATAATTTTGATCCAGACTTACTTATTTGTTGAAAGATTCGACATAAACTATCTCTTAACGTTTGCATTATCATACACAATGATGTTATATGTAAGATACTTTCTTATTTTGACAGTTTATACCAACAGTCTTTGCAGGCTACTGTTGCTATTTTGTTCTTGCCGGATGCACGGAATAACGTGAAATCCACAATAAAGAAGATAGAAATGCGAGATCTGAATACTGAAACGTGTAAATCAGCGCGCGAAAAAATTCGAAAAGAAATTTTCTTGGAGACAGCAAATTTACTTGCACACATAATTCTGGCCGTTGTTAGTTGGGTTTTGTACACAATGCATAACGAAAATGTGGAGAAATACGAGTGTAGCATACACGTGTGGACGAATTATTTTCCCAAATGGAAAAATATATCAGTGTTTCTGTACAGAATCATTTTTTTTCCTGCAGTATACGTGTCAATAATAAATCCCAGCCATTTAATAAAGTATTCGCTTCTTCAAATAAAATTTCAAGTGTATGTGTCGATACACCAAATAGAAGAAATTAACTTGGGATATGAAGATCGACCATTTTCAAGACTAGATTCGCAATTCCACGAAATGGTTTCGAAGAGATTATTATCGTGCATAAAATTACATTTGTTCTACTACGGGTAAAAACAGTAACTCGTTTATGGATCCAGATATAACGAATAATTTTTAGCTTAATTCGAGAAATCGAAAAACGTACCACAAAGTACTTGTTTGCTTTTAAAACTGTTTCAATTTTACTCTACTTCGGTTTGACTATTTCCTACTTTTCGGTAAGTTATACTCAACCAAAAATAAGCTAAATTTTTAAGCGAAATTTTAGCAAAAAGGCGTTTTGCCCATAACTTGTCTCATCTCTTTGATAAGTTTGAGTATATTTAGTGGGGCTACAGTTACAAGAAGTGGCCAGGAGCTAGAGAATTTAGTAAGTTATCTATATCTTAGTATTTTTTCTGTAACGACTTCTATCTAGTCCGACGACGTCTACATGTCTCTAGTCAATGTAAAGTGGTACCACTGGAATAAAAGCAATAAAAGAAATTATCTCATATTTTTGACAAACGCAATGAAACCATTTAAACTGAAGTACAGCCAAAACGTTTCACTCAATTATAAACTTGCCATAGAGGTACTAAGTAGTACCATGAAATCAAACCATAATTTAAATTTTATGTTGCAGCTACTGCAAGCCTTCTTTTCCGCTATATCCATCAGCTCCAACTTAAAAAATGTTGGCAACAAAACGCAAATTTAAAACTGCATACACTTGAAAATATTTTTCACTACAGCGTGTGAAAAATATTTTGTGGAACAAATGAGACATGTGTTGGATTTCGCAATCCTCTTTTTTCCTAATCCAAATCGCCACTCTCTCAATTTGTTCACATAGCTCCATTATTTTCAAAGACAATCACTCAAAAAAATTAACTTAAAAAGTAATCTACAAATATCTGTTTCAAATTTATTCTCGATCTGGTGCTCGCAGAAAAACGGAGCTAATTTGGCTTACATTTTAATGCAACTCAAGTTCTAAATATACATAGCGTAGCAACAAATAAGCTTAATTCGACGGATTAAAGAAGACCTGGTAAGCTGAATTTTAGATTTTGAAGAGCTCTACTTTTGCGGTTGCGGTCATGAGTAAACTTAATTTAAGAAACTAAGTATATAAGTCAAGATTCTATTTAAAAACAGTTGTATATGTTTTGTCAATATAGAGACACTTTGTACACATTTAAATTTCATGTTTAAACAATAAATTTTGAATTTCACAACTACGTCTTTAATTAATTTTAGAGACAAAAAGGTAATGAGTAGTGAAGGGACAGAAAGAAAGAAAAACAATAGAGAAGTAGAGTCGCCGAAAGAGGACGAGCAGCTCTTCCAAAGAAGCAAAATCACAGTGAGATCACCTCTGCAATCGATAAAGAAGGAAAATCGAGGAGATATAGAGATGGAGGAGGTCAAAAAGATGATCAGCGAACTTGCGACACAAATCAGAGATGATATGAGAGAAAGTAATAAACAATTATTGAAGGAAAGAAATACACAGCTTAAAAAGGAGCTTAAAACAATAAGACAAGAATTAAAGCAAACAAGATATCAACTACAGGACCAAATCAAGAAATTACAGATAAGTATGAAGAATGGAAGCGAGCTAAGAAAGAAATGGGAAAGAAAGTGGGTGAGGCAGAAAGTCAACTAGAACGAGTGGAGAGAGAAAAGGGAAGAAACAAAGTAGTAATGATGGGAATGGAAATAGGAAGATGAGAGCAAAAACAGGTAATTGAAAAGTTGACAAAATTTTTAGAAGAGAAAGCCAAAGTACAGAGTAAAGTTAAAAGCGAGTACAAAATTGCGAAGAAAGTTTATGTAGTGGAATGCGAAAATAGAGAAGAAAAAATAAACGTAATGAAAAGCAAAAAGAACTTAAACGGGTCGTCAGTTTACATAAATGAGGATCTGACGAAAACGGAAAGAAAAATTTAAATCAAGATAAAAGAAGAGGCAACAAAAGAGAGAAATAAAGGAAAAATGGTTAGAATGGGGTATAAAAAGTGCAGACATTTTGAATGGAATGAAAAAGAGGGCAGAGACAAGAAGGTGGAAAATTTTTAGTAAAGAACCAAAAGAAAAAGAAGAAAGGGAGGAAAAATGGAAAAAAACAAGGCAAAGGAAAAGGATGCAGATAGTGAAATCGGAAAAAGGGAAGCTGGTACAAAATTAGGAGAAAAAAGGGTAAAGGTACTTTTTTGTAATGTCCAAGGGTTGCGAAAAACGGAAAGCGACTTCTGGGATTACGTGGGAAAATTTGATGTGATGGGACTAGTAGAGACAAGGGTACAAAGAGAAAACTGTGAAAAATTTGAAGAGA